GCCTAACACCTTCTCCCGGATTAACAGAATTCCTTATCTAGAATTTCTGGCTCGCAGACTTCAAAAAGAAAGTCGAATTTCCTTAATTTGGGATTTTAAAATAAACTGGTGACTTGGGACACCAAATAAACTATTCCAAGTGGCAACTCTAAATAAAATAAAATAATCTCATTTCGAATAATGTCACCTTAATTGGAAAAACTCTCTTATACACTCTCGGATGTGTAAAAAAAGAGGTGTGGCAGATCAGCTGTGAGCACCTAATTTTTTACCATATTTAATTTTTGTCACCTTCTTCTATTTAAATATTTTTAGAGGTTTTAGTCTACAACTTTTAACTTTGTTACATTTTTTATTATAGGGTAAAAATACGAAATTTGAAAAAGGTGAATTATTACTATTAATAATATTTTATTTTTATTTTCATTTTAAAATAATTAAAAAAATAACGAAAATATTAATTTTTTTAATTATTATTATCAGGAGAGATTAAATAAATAAGAAAAAGGGAAGTAGGCAATTAAAAAAAATAAAAGTAAAAGTAGGTGGAATTCTCTTTTAAAAAGTAAAAAAAAGTGGAAAATTATAAAAATAAAAGTAAAGTTTTGTGAAAATTTAAAAAATAAAAAGTAAAAGAAAGTGTAAATTAAAAAATAAAAGTAGAGATGGCTAAAAATTTTAATAAAAATGTAAAAGAACGTAGAATTTTTTAAAAGAAAAGTAAAAGAAAGTGGGAATTAAAAAATTAAAGTAAAGATGGCTGAAAATTTTAAAAGAAAGTAGAATTTTTTAAAAGAAAAGTAAAAGAAAGTGGATTTTTTAAATTAAAGTAAAATAAGTGGAAAATAAAAATAAAAAAAAAAAGTAAAAAAAGTGGGATTTTAAATAAGATAAAAGTAATTAAAGTTGGAATTTAAAAAATAAAAGTAAAGATGGCTGAAAATTTTAAAAGAAAGTAGAATTTTTTAAAAGAAAAGTAAAAGAAAGTGGATTTTTTAAATTAAAGTAAAATAAGTGGAAAATAAAAATAAAAAAAAAAAGTAAAAAAAGTGGGATTTTAAATAAGATAAAAGTAATTAAAGTTGGAATTTAAAAAATAAAAGAAAGTAGGAATTAAAAAATAAAAGTAAAGATGGCTGAAATTTTTTTTAAAAAAAAAAGTAAAAGAAAGTAGAATTTTTTAAAAGAAAAGTAAAAGAAAGTTGATTTATTTTAAAGAAAAAAGTAAAATAAGTGGGAAAAAAAAGAAAAGTAAAAAAAGTAGGATTTTAAATAAGATAAAAGTAATTAAAATTGGAATTTAAAAAATAAAAGTAAAGAAAGGTGGGAACTCTTTTTATAAAAAGAAAAGAAAAGCAAAATGTAAGTGGGATTTCTTTTAAATAAAAAAATAATTAAAAAACAAATCTGAAAATTTTCAAAAATTCTCCTATAAATAGAAGAGAAATATTTGAGAAACAAAATAAAAAGGGAGAGGAGAGGAAATTGAGAGAAAACATATTTTCTTCTTTTATGCAAAAATAGAATTTCTACTATTTTTATTATTTCTTCTTATTTCTTTCAAAAAAAAACATCAATTCATTATCTTGTTTAAGATAAAAAGAAACCAAAAATTAGCTCTTTAAATACCTCAAAATTAGCCCCAAAATAACAATAAGAATTCGTGGCATGAACCCATTTTCCTTCGAGTTTTAGTTACAGTCGAGTAACGAAATTCAATCCGTCGAGGTTGCCGATTCAAGGTTTAGTCAATAGCTTGTTGTGTCCAACTCGATTTGGAGTTTTACATTTGGAAAATATTGAGCAAAGGTCTGTTCTAATCTTTGTCATTTTTGTGTACTTGCATGAATAAATTTACACTATACTTAATGAATATTGTTCTATTTAAATTCCGGGGGCAAATCATTCTTGCTGAAAGAGATTTGATTGACTGCAAAAAACCTTTCCGCCATCCTCTCTAGTTGTTCCACAGTGGTTTCAATGGGTACGTATTCTTCATTGAGAGTTTTGATCTACACTTTTTGATGTTTAGTTGAATTCATTAGCAAAGACAACAAAGAGACTTGAGCAGGAGACTTCCGGAGTTGATCAATTATCTCGTAGTCCGCTATTTTTATTTTTCAGAAGAACTTTTCTGCTTCTTCAGCACTTACTGGCTTCTTGAGTGGGAAACGCTTCTTCGTGGCATTATTCACTTCCTCCAGATTGAGGTATTTCTCCGTCGGGTTATTTTCCTTAACTTCTCCCGAGATCTCTTTACCCTTGTAAGTTACTACCGCCTTGTTGTAATTCCATGGAACGGTAGTGGGATCTTTCATGGTCCTCTACGGTGCGCGGCCAATAACCACGGGCTCATTCAGCTTTGGTGAAATTACTGGCCCCCGCACCACGTAGGTCCCTTTAGGCACATACATTTTAGATCTCTTGTTTAGCTCAAACCTTTTTGGAGGGCTCAATGACATTTGTTCTTTCTTGTGGCCCCGGGGAACATAGAGAATGGCATCTTTTGAGGGCGCTGCCCAGTTTCAGTTTCCACCTTCTTTTCTGTATTCTGAGGGGTGGGTTTACTCTTCTTCTCCCTTTTGTCTTGTTTTGCGACAGCCTTTGGCTTCTTTTCCACATCGGCTATGGCAATGATGGCTTTTAGAGTTGGGTCAAACTCCCTGTCTTCGCAAATCATTCCAATAACCGGCTCGTTGTTGTGAGCCGGTAGTGGATTGTTAATTACATTAGGAACGTCTTCGTCTTTTAGCACTATTCATTTTTGTTCTATGAGGTTTTCCACAGCCATCTTCAGGGTCCAACTGTCATCTTTATCTTTCCCTTCCGCCCCTGAGTGGTAAGCACATCGAATATCGGCTCTGTAAGCGGGTGACACTAGGTTTTGCCTGGTTTGGGGTACAGGCTACAACAAATCCATATGGACAAGTTTGGGGAAAAGGTTGGAATATGACTCACCAATGGGTGTGAAGTTTGCCATCTTGGGTGGTTCCCGGGCACGAAAGTTGTTCTGTGGAGGTCGGGGATTATACTGAGCATGGTGAAGAGGTTGATTTCTGGGAAATGGAGCACGGTTTTGATTGAATTATTGGTGTGGCCTAACGTAGGGTTGGGAATTCATCACTGCATATGGCTGAGGAACCATAGCGTAGGCCACATCCTGATGGAATAATAATGTTGTGGGGTTCTTTCAGAGAAATAAGGTCTGGGTGGACGGGGTTTTCTTACACTTGAAGTTGCCATTGCCGCTTCCTCTTTCTTCTTTCGGTTTGCTACACCTTCAGACCCATCTTGAATTTCTTGGGAGGTAGNCCAGACCCACCTTGAATTGCTTAGGAGGTAGCCCTTATAGCAGACTGACTCAAGATTTGCCCTATTTTTAAACCATTCTCAACCATTTCACCGATTTTGATGGCCTCGACAAACGGTTTCCCCATCGCAGACATCATGTTCTGATAATAATCAACCTCTTGGGCTTGAAGAAAGACACTAACCATCTTTGTTTCGTCCATTGGAGGCTTGACTCTTGCCGTTTGTTTGCGCCATTTGACAACATACTCTCGGAAGCTTTCGGAGGACTTCTTCTTTAGATTTGACAATGAATTCTTATCAGGGGCAATGTCGATGTTTTATTGAAACTGCCTGACAAAGTATCGAGCCAGGTCGTCCCAGATATGCCACCGAGATATATCATGATCCATGTACCATTCAGAAGCACTACCGACTAGGCTCTCTCCAAAACAGGCCATGAGAAGCTCCTCTTTTCCACCTGCTCCCCACAATTGGTTGCAGTACCTCTTGAGGTGGGCTATGGGATCCCCATGCCCGTCATACTTTTCAAACTTTGGGGTTTTGAAACCCAAGGGTAAGTGCACGTGTGGGAACATACACAGGTCAACGTAGGATACGCTCTTTTGCCCACTCAAACCCTGTATATTTTTTAGACTCTGCTCCATGCTCCTCATCTTTCTGGTAATCTCCTCTTGTTCAGGGTTTTTTGTGGTTTTCTCCTGCCCCGCAGTAAACTCGTACCAGGGTTGCTGAGGGTAGGAATTAGTAGTGAACTGGGTTGGTTCCATTGGGAAAGATGGTGCTTGAAAGGTGAAGGATGACTAGTCAAAACTAGGCCTGGGTAGAGTGGGCTGTGCCGCAGCTGAACAAGACAACGCAGTGAATATGTTTGAGGCCGCACCTGACATTGACACCTGGGGGCGGGCCTCAGAAGGTGTTCCAACAAAGTGGGTTAAGATGGTAGGATATCCCGGTGGGGTGTATAGATAACTTATGGGGATGTTGGAAGTCCCACTTGCCCTGGGAAATAACTCAGGGAACCCAGGTATCGCACTTGGTGGTTCTCTTCCGTTGGCCCAGGCGTCCCACATTTCCATCATGCAGAGACGTAGAATTATATTTTCTTCAGCAGTTGCTGACTCAGAAGTTGGGATGGGCGAGATCGGTCTATCCTCCGGGATAGGTATTGTTGGCAGCTGACTTTCCGAAGACATTTCAACACTTCCTTTTGACCTTGTGAAGTACAGATATGACCACTTTAATATAAAACCTGGAACTTAACAGTAGACAACAAATCGGTCAATTTGAAGCAATTAACACATAGGTAATCGCACGTTGGGGTGTGATGCACCTATACAGTTAAATGTGTTTCTACATGTTTCGCAACGGTTGCACGTTTCATCCCGGCTCTGCTTATTTTCCCAATTTTCTTTTCCTTACACTTTGGCTATTTGTGTTATTCCCATTTTCCTCTCTTTTCTTTCCTCTCTTTTCTTTCCTCTCTTTTTTCGTTTTTCTTTCTTTTGGTTTTTCTTTGGCTCTCTTTTTCTTTCTTTTTGGTTTTTCTTTCGGTTCTTTCCTTCCACATCCCTCTTTATTTGAGTTATTTACAAAAAAAATATGACAAGATCTGATGAGGATTGCCTATGTATGGTGACGCCACGTGAATTAGATCATTATGTAGTTCAAGAAAATAAGTACGAACAATAAGGAAACAATTTTTGGGAATTTTCAATTTTCATTAAAAAAACTCCTAAACTTTTCTATTACAAAAGACTCCAACATACTCATTTCTTGTAATTTTAAAGACTACAAACATACTCAAAACAAATTTTAAACTAAAAACTGAAATACAGACTCGATAAGTGAAAATCAAGAGTACATAAGTGCTTCGACTCCGGGGGCCCGTGGGACATCATTCGGTCTTGCCACGGGCCTATGTGCAAGATCCCCTTGAAGCCGCTCCAGATCACACATTATTTGGCGGACAAATGTCATTACTACAGCAAAGAAAGTTGTTCGAGTCATGTCCTCACATTCATGGAATTTCATGATGATGTAGTCGGCAATTGCTCTAACCCTCTCCCAGATAATACCCTTTTCTTGGAGCAAACGCCCGATTTGCTGATTCCAAGCTTCCAACACTTGGGTGTCATGACAGTTTTGATTCTGCAACTGTTGCATATCTTCCTCCATCTGGGCCATCAAAGCATAGCAAGGTTCCCTTTCGGCTTTAAAGTTCCTAGCTTGTTTGGCCGCCTCATTTTCAAGGGTAGTTAAATTTCTCTTCAAATCGATGATTGTCCCCTCATATTTTCTCTTCAACTGCCGCACAAATTCCATTCGTCCTTCTACATTCTTTGCCAGTTGTGCTCGGACTCTTGCTAGACTAGCCTCAGATTTTTCTAAGTCATCTTGACACTCAATTATTTTCTTTCGAAGACCACTTATGAGCCTTTCATCTACTCGGCTTCTTTCTTGGTTTTTAGCAACTATTCTCATTTTCTGGATCTGATCTCTAAGGGCTTGGTTTTCTTGAACCAACTTCTTCTTTTCCCCTTCATCGGCAGCAACTTGGACACTATTGTCAAATTTGAGCCTCCTGATTTGTCCCTCCAATTTACTTATCTTGGCCCTATAGCTTGCTTCTTTCGTCAACCAGTCCCATTGCTCCCGCAAGTCTTTAGTGAATTACTAGACGTGAGGTCTTTTTGCAGGCCTTTCGGGCTCTCGAGGGACTTGAAACCTTTTACCGAACCAATTCATGTAATTAGGCTCTACCTCACCCTTAACTAGATCCCACACCAGAGTTTTAGGTTCTAGAAATCTGCACTCATTCCAAACTTGGTGAACTCTTCCTTCTGGGAATACAGCCTTTGGGCCCAATTCGACGACTTGTCGGCTCAGATCTTCGTCATGGGGAATAGTTTGAAACCTGCCCAGTTGGCGCAAAACCCGGTGAGGAGCATATGGCTGAATGCTCCGGAGACCCATTAGGAGAAGATAGCACACTTCGGCTGACATGTATGTGACTTCGGTGACAGGGAGCCATCCGAAAGTCCACTCAATTTTGTCCGAAGTTAAAGAACTCAAGTGCACAAACCAAGCCTCTGTACCCTCTGGAAATTCAATACCCACCACTCGGTTTTCGTACTCTTCGATGCAATTCAAACCAGTCATGTCGTAGTTCATATACCCGATACGGTGATAGAGATGTTCTTGTATCCACAGTTGTAGGAGTAGGTTACATCCTTGGAAGAATCTTCCCCCTTCTCGGCATATGGTTAAGGCTCGGTAAATCTCAGCTAAGATCATTGGAACAAGGGTGCCATTAGCTTTCTTGATCATGACATCAACCATTCCCACGAGACCCAATTCTATGTTGCCGTCCTTTCTCGGATAGATTATGACACCCAAAAATGCCACTATAAAGGCCAAACCCCATCATGCCTCCCATTTATCTTTGTTACCTGCATGGGTTAAACCAATATTCGATGATTCAAAACCTTGAGGATTGTCATAGCACTGGTACAAAAATTGGAAAGTGCAAAACCCTTCGGATAAATTCTCATCCTGAACCTCCCGGCTAATTCAACATATCTAGAAACTTGTGAAGAGACATTGTTCTTAGTGACACCAGATACCGACTTTTGAGATTTCCGCTAAGGCCGGCATAGCCCGCAATTTCCTCTAGCGCGGGAGTGAGCTCAAAATCAGAAAAGTGAAACACATTGTGAGTCGGATCCCAGAAAGGTATCAAGGCCTCAATCACATCCAATCTTGGCTTGATTTTCAGAAGTCCCATGAGACCACCTAAAACTTTTACCACAGTCCCTCTGCTGCATTTTCCTAAATCGTTCCACTACATATGGAGCTGTAGGGGGATTTCCTCAAGAGCTGTGAAGGGTTCTTTTTCATTTGTGCTCATCCTGCACTTTTATTAGGGTGATTTCGTTAAAGGATCATGATTCATTTTGACTCAAGAAAATTTATCACCATTTTTCAAAAAATTTAATTTAAAAAATAAACACCCGGCTTTGCAAATACGTCCCTTCAGCACTTCGGGGAGGAAGATTTTAGGATTGTGTTTGCTAACCGGCCAAAAATTTGAAAAAGAGACTATAGGTGGCTGTTCTTGCAAAAATAGCCTTTCGGCGCCCTTTTGGGGACATTCAACTATTTTAGACAAGAATGGCATCACCTTACTTATTTATGACAAAACAATAAAAAAATTTGTTCTTTTTGGGCTATTTTTGCAAAAATAAAGTTGGTCCTGATGGGGGTTACCTACATATCTCACATCCGGTGAGAATCAAATTGGCATAGTTCGGGCAGATTTGACAAAATAAAAACAACAATAACTATTTTTTAAAACAAGATTTTCTTTTTCTCTTTTTTTCAAAATTTCGGCAAAGTTTTGGTATTTTTTGGACATTGATTTATTCAAAAACAGGTAATTATCTCTCTAGCACTCAAATTGATTTTTTCTTTTCCAACTTTTCTCCTATTATTCAGAAGTCGGTCAACATGCAAATTCGAAGCAAATAAATGCACAAGTAGCAAGTAGAATGAATCAGGATGGTCTTTTCATTTCGGGTACACCTGTCCTAGACAGACCCAACCCCTGTTTTAAGTCTCCAAAGTCAAATGCACGTGATGCAAACAAATGTTCCTACTGGGGATCCGGCATGAGGTTTTATTATACTAAGTTTAAAACCTGGGTGTATTGTTCTAGACCTGGCTTACCCGAGCGGACAGCTCGAGCCGGGGGGGAGGGGGGCAGCGTACCGGGAATACAAAAACTTCACCGGCTTTGCAACTTGTCCGAACCTCGTTCTAAAATTGGGATAAGACTCTAACAGAAAAGAAGTCACACGAAGTGCACACTTCCCAGATAATTTAGAAGACTCAGAGAGAAGAGGGTTTCGTAGCAGTTTATATACAATCCAAATAATATCAAAACAGTAAAAAGCGGCATTTAGCACATTAGGCTAAAACATGCAAAAAACAGATAATAAATAAAGCCAAATGTAACAGTTATTATAAGCTCGAATTCTTGAACCCTGAACCGAAGTTCTGGGTTTAGGTCCCCAGCGGAGTCGCTAGAGCTGTCACACCTCCTTTTTACACCCCGAAGGGGGATAAGGGAGTTTTTTCCAATTAAAGTGACATTATTCGAAATGGATTATTTTATTTATTTTTCAGAGTCGCCACTTGGGATAGTTTATTTGGTGTCCCAAGTCACCGATTTATTTTAAATCCCAAATCGAGGAAATTCGACTTTCCTTTTGAAATCTGCGAACCAGAAATTCTAAGTAAGGAATTCTGTTAACCCGGGAAAAGGTGTTAGGTATTTCCGGGTACCGTAATTCTAGCACGGTCGCTTAAACTATTAAAATTAGCCTATTATCCGGTTTATTACACGTTTTAGCCTATGGTGCATTTTTAAACTTATTAACCGCTTTTAATTATTTTAAAATATTTTTAGGAAGATTCAACGTTATTTAAAACATGGCTTGAACCACGCCACATGAAATGCACCCGCGATTCGCGACACGTTCTACTTAACATTGTTGAGAATTGAAGTCGGGTCACATGAAATGTACACCCGAATTTTAGCATGTTTATTTCATTATTAATCGAACTTATAGTCGGGTCACATGAAATGCACACCCGAATTGAGATTTACATATCGTGACTATGCCACGGGAACCGTACTCATAGCTATAACAATTTATTTAATTAACGCACCTAAAGCGAACTACGAAAATGAGTTAATCTATGGATAATTTTCCTTATAAACCAAGTCTTCACAAAACAACCAAATCCATTTGATGGAATTTTCAACTTCTGCAACTGTATCAGATGCACTTTGGAAGATAAAGAGCTATTTCATTATGAAGGAAAATGTTTTGTTTAAACAAGTCTAATAGAATAAGAGTTAGGATAGTAGCAAAATATAATGACCCAGAAAAGAACTTCACAAACACGATGCGTCGGTCATAAAAATCATTCAAATTTGTCCATCCATTATGTTCCACCCAAATGGACAATATCACACATTAAAACAGAGGAGAAAAAGAAATTTTATATGTATGCATCGTGTTAGCCAAAATTGACAATCTCTTAATATTTATTTTTTATTAGGTATATAAAGACAAAATTTTAAATATTTTCATGTAATAAGATCCCAAAATTCAACTTTTCCCCAAAACTACAAAGTCAGTAATGTTGCAATATTACAATACTTAAAAAAAAGAACATATTGATTTCTTATTTCCTACCACATATAAAGGACTTAATGCTTCTGCAACTGGCATTTACCTTCACAACAATAATTGCACATGCCTCTAAATAATATGGATCAAAACTTAATTCCTAAAGCAGCTGAGTTATTCAAATTGAATTTTACCAATACAAATTAAAGCTCTTACCTGCTACTGTCGAAAGCATTGTTCCTTTTTCCTTTCGTTTCACTTTCAAATACTTGGGCAAAGCAGATCTGAAGATCGATCTTCTTCCTTGCCGTACGACCTCGATGCACCGGACCTCGACGAACTCAACACTTCAATATATGGCGCTGAACAGATCTCGCAAACGAGCTCCAAGATGGATTCAACCTCGACAAGGAACCAGCAGAATAGTCATCGAAACTCAACCAGAAAAATTTGAGACTCGCCGGAAAAGAATGTTAAACGAGCTTTTGGACTCCTCACTGTTTTCAACGTGTGTGTGCGTGAAGCTTCGTTCAGTTGTGGGAGATGGAGTCGTTTATGGCTGCTGAAGCTCAGAAAATTCTGAAGCTTTTCTTCAGGTTTGTGAAGAAGAAAAGACCATCGATGGGGGAGGTCCCTTTTTGCGGCTGATTGTCGGCTTTTTTGGTGAATTGTATTTTTTGTGTTCTTTTTGCTTTTCTTCGGAGTAAACGGCGGGTTGTAAGTTTTTTTTAGGCGTGTAGGTTAATTTAGGATTAGGTACTATTATATAAGGGTATGGATCAAGTGAGAAGTATGGGCCTAGGAATTATGGGCTTGAGAATTATGGGTTAGGTTCAAAATTAGGCCTGAAAATGGGTTACTCGAGCCCAAGTTTATTCTTTCCATGCGAACGAGATTAAAATACGATCTCATTTATTAATTAATCCTACTTAAGTAAAATAACTATTAAAATAAGATTGACCGTTAAAATAAACTATTTTTTTGGTATTTTTCAAGATTAAAAATGACTACAAAATATTAATGGAATAATTTTTGTAATTTTTATTTTTCTTGTAATAGAATGAAATAAGAGAGTAAAAATTAGTTGAAATAGCTATATTAGGCCTAAATTAAATATTTACGTACTAAAATATGAAAAATCTTGGGGAGGGTCATGTCGGAAAAAAAATTAAGAAACTTTGACGATTATGTTAATAAATGATAAATTATAGTATACATTTTTTAGAGCAACATCTTTTTTATTTAAATTCTTGCGAAAATCTAGTAGCAAGAGAAAGAAAAAAGAGACAAAGAGACATGAAATATAACTGATAGAATAATAAATTGTTCCTTCCATTAGCAAGGGGGGCAAGTTTTGAATATTATCAAGGAAAGATGCCATAATTTTTCCCCTTGGGAACATAAATTTGAAACCGTAACCTCTAGTCAGCATAGAAGCGCGTCAGATGCCGGACATTAGCACTAAAGTTTAAAGAACAAACCTTAGGTTCTGGATCTAGAAGATTGACATCAACTAGGTGTTCAATCCAGCTTGAACCCAAAGCATCATCATCGTTAATTTTAGTACTTTTAGTACTCACAGTAGTGCTCCAAAAAATTACAAGTCTTTAACCTCCCAAAAATGTTAATTCAACACTTTCCAGCAAATAGAGAGTACCCAAATACAGAAACATAGTCTTGCTAATTGTAAAACATATCTGTTACAATCTACAAACCTTAGATTCACGTTGACTACTGATTTTTGCTCTTGTTCTTGCCCTCAGGGTGTGTCTTCTACTGATTTTGCTCCCAGCCGTCCTAATTTTGCTCCCAGCGCATTTCTACTCTGTTAGAAGAAAGACTGATGTTTTACTTATTTGTGCCCTAGGGTAAATAATTAAGTGGTATTCAACGATGGATTTAGCTAAGCCTCAATTTCCGTCGCTAAAAATAATATTATTTTTCATTGAAGAGTACATTATCGACGGAAATTTCCATAGCAAGGTGTTTTAAAAAATTTTGATAAAGAAATTAAGGCTAGCGACGGATTTTTGGTTGCTAATTCTGTCGCTGTAGTTAAATAAATTTTGTCGCTCCATTTTTGTCGCTAAATCCATAGATAAATTGAGGGCGCCAATATCTAGTGCCAACAATTAGCGACAAATTTTCGATTTCGTCGCTATTCCGTCGCTATATTATATACTAACTATTTTTTGGCTTTTTTTGCAATGAAACTATTATTTTGTAGCCAACCCGTCGCTAATCAGCGACGGAACTAAATTTGTTGCTAAAATCCGTCGTTAAATGCTATTTTTTGTAGCGATGCCTCCGTCGGCCCTGTGTACCTATCGAAGCCAGCTCTATTGTTGAGTCCCCGAGGATTCTGGCCTCAGTCCATCCTTCGATCGTTGCGGGGTATGTTGCGACTTAGGGCGTTCCTCTTGTCGTCGATGTATGGTCGGTACCTTTCTTCGTTTGGCTTTGGCTCCTTCGCCAAAAGCCTGCTTGGGTATACCGAGCCCGAGGGGGCTCCCAGTTGGTCATCCTCGGCCTTGATTTTCGATTGATATCGATTGTGAATGTTCGACCAAGTCACGGTGGGATATTCGACCAGGTTCTACTTCAGTTGCTTTGAAGCCACCAAGCTTCGCTCATTCAGACCTTGAAGGATTGTACTGCCTAGTCGTCGGAGACTGGTGGTAGTTCCATCCGTTCCATTTGAAAGCGAGATACGAACTCTCACAACATTTCGTTCTCCCTCTGCTTGATCTTGAAGATGTCAGACTTCCTTATTGCTACTTTGATGGTACCGGCATGTGCCTTTATGAAAGAATCTGCCAACATGGCAAATGAGTCTATGGAGTTAGGAGCTAGGTTGTGATACCACATCATGGCCCCCTTCGAGAGTGTTTCCCCGAACTTCTTTAGTAAGACGGACTCGATCTCGTCGTCCTTTATGTTATTGCCCTTCACTGCGCAAGTGTATGCAGTAACGTGCTCATTGGGGTTTGAGGTCCCTGTCACACCTCCTTTTTCTACTACACCCCCGGAAGGGAGTATATAAGGGAGTTTTTCCAATTAAAGGACAATCGAAACGGAATTATATTTATTAAAAGATTCAGAGTCGCCACTTGAGAGATTTATGGTGTCCCAAGTCACCGGTTCCAATCCCGAATCGAGGAAAAGATTGACTCTGTTTAACAATCCGCGAACCAGAAATCCGGGTAAGGAATTTTGTAACCCGGGAGAAGGTGTTAGGCACTCCCGAGTTCCGTGGTTCTAGCACGGTCGTTCAACTGTTATATTCGGCTTAATTATCTGATTTAGTACATGTTCAGACCTACATACATTTTAACCTTTTAACCGCTTTATTTAATTATTAAGAAGATTGCAACGTTATTAAAATACGTCTCGAACCACGTCACATAAATGCACCCGTGGCTTTCGACATATTTTAACATTGTTGGGATTTGGATTTGGGTCACATAAATGCGCACCCGAGTTTAGGAAAGTAATATTATTAACTAACGCGCCTAAAAATCTTTCGCATTTGCAGCTTTGCGAGGGCCGTGGAATTTAACTAAACGGCACACCTCGAATTCTAAGGATCAATACAGGATTAACTAAAATGAGAGCCATGCAACTTGAGGTTTTACTCGGCACGGCACACCTTAATTCCTTTCAATTCCAGGCCAGCGCAACTAAATGGATTCATGTCTACATAATCAATCCAATATCCCTTTTAATGTGATCCAACACTCACGTTTCACGAATAATCCTAGCGCGAGTTAAATTGCAAGCAGTTGGTACGACCTTCACTTCTTTTAACTTTCCAATTCATTGAATTATAGATAAAGAAAAATCTAACAAAATGAAAATATCTTGCTGCCTTCGAGCTTGGGCCCAGAACGAGCCCACTTCTTTGAGAAGCTGAAATCAGTAGGTGCAGGACTCAAGATCGAGTCCCTACGGCACACAAGCAACGACTGATTATGTAGACACAAGCCAACGCCGGCATTACGCAACAGGCCTTAACTAAGTCTTTAAACATTCAATGGACAATCACAGGAGATTGTAGTGATGACAAAATCCAGTTTTTGGAAATTATACAATATGTGATTCTAACTGGTAAGTAAAACCTAACTAACCTAAGCAATAACATGAAGGCCCGAGCCTTAACTAAAGCTCATATTAGCAGGACATGGGGGGTCGACATTAAGCAGCAATGACTTTGAGGCATCAAGTTTGATACCATATCATTCGAACGCCAACAAACAATTTAACACAGGCCAACATGATACTGTAAAACATAACTAAGCATTTCCCTAACCTACAACTATTCTCAAACCAATCTGATAGCTAAGCAGAAGAATCAGGTCACTTAAAGCTTCAGTCTCATATCATAATACCCCATTCATGACAAATATACTAATCAAATATCTCTAGAGCTAAATATTACATCCATAGATGAGATTGAAAGGAGAAGAAATGGAATTCAAACAATAACGTCACTTTATCATATTTCCAAATTCAAACTCCATATTACACTTTAGGTGATGTCCATAGTGCCAAAGAAATACCTGGAAAGCTAAACAATAGAAAGATGAGAAGGTCAGCAACAGGCAATAGCAGTCAGCCCCAGATTCGACCACTCAGCAGATGAAATCAACTCAGGAATGCCAATGGAACAGTAAAGACTTTCAAACCGAATTTTAACCAATTCAACTACTCAAGCCATTTCCTAATTTCAGTAGTAAGATCATGAAATTTCCAAGAATTCTACACCACCAAAGAATCAAAACTCCGAACCAGAAGTAGAAATTTTAGTCTTCAACCAAAATGCAGAAGTTCCAAATTTTCTAAGAAAACTCAGCTGTTTTTATTTTCAGTATTTTTTCTCTCTATCTCTTGGGTCTGTATTTTTAACTTCTTCCAATCCTTGCCTTGAAAGGCAAGATAGAGATGTCTTTATAGGCAAGGCATTAGGGCAGGCCTTAAGAGGTCATTTTTTGCCTTTTTGGTCCCTTTTTAATTTTCATTTTAGCTTAAACACCCCTAGTTTAAATTCTGTTTTTGCGAAACAGTCCCCTCCCCAGCTTCCTAGAAGCTTCCTCAATCAGTTATAGAGAGATTCTCTACTTACAATTCCTAAACTACCCCTTAGGATCCCTGTTTTCACCCTGAAATCTATGGGTCAAGTTGACCCAATGGCTTAACTAAATGAACGGGCTGCCTTTCTTTTTGCAAATGGGTCAGAAACCCAAAGCCCAAACAAAATAAACCAAATCATTCTATAATCTCATGGAATGCAGAGGAAAGCAGCATTTAAACGATTTCAAATAAATTTAAAAATCTAGACTAAATGAATGACTTATAAATGGGCTAGAATTAACAAGATTATCAAATTAACACCAAATTTAACTAGATTAGTTATCGACTAAAATAGAAATCAGAAGTTAAAACATGTAGAATGCACAAACCAACAAAATTATTGAAAATTCTAAAAGAAAACAAAACAAAGAAGAACCTAAAATCAAAAGCTAAACAAATTCAACAAATTTAACAGAAGAGACCTAAACCTACAGAAATAATAGACGAGAGAAGAACATATGTGAAATAACGCAAAAAAACAAACAAAACAAAAAGGAAATGTGGAAACTTACCAAATAGACTCGGAATCGATATTGATATTCCAACTTAACCCAAGATAATGTTAATCGCTTGTTCCTTTTCAAGAACCAGCGACCATCATTATTTTGTGGTACGTTGGCCTTGAAAAACTCAGAAAACTCGAGACATAACCTTGCATGCAACCAATTTCGAGAATAGGCCTTTTAGGGTTCAGACTTCAGATTTAAGATTTAAGGGATTCCGGATAGATTCGAGGGAAAAGAGTTAGAGATTTGGGGAG